CGCTCTAGGATCGTGCATCTCACTCTGTAATCATGCATCTTGCTCACTAACTGTGCATCTTAGGATGATTTTACTCAAGGATCTGACTCTTGTCTCAGGATCTGCATATGGCCCCAGAGTTCCAACTTCGAGCAATTCATCAGACAGGGGGGCGAATTGGACAAAAACTGCCGCAGCGTCACTAACGAGAGGATTTAGCTACCACATTTCGAGCCTCCGAAAGAGTGGCTTATCGAATCAGGCTCGATTGAAGGCTCATCCCAGCTTATACGATTTGTATTCATACAGTGTACGTCTGCGTGCTACTTTCGTACGCAGACCCAAGTTCTGGTATGGATCCTCTACACATTTTATGATGTGTTGAACATGGTGCATAGTCCACGAGCTCTCGTAGAAGCACTTGGTCTACCGCGTGATACGACACAAAACCTACTAGCCGAGATTCCAGAGATGTGCGTTTGCGTGCTACTCTTGTACGCAGACCCAAGTTCTGGTATAGATCCTCTACACATCTTGTGTTGTGATGAACAAGCATTGATCACCTCTGACCACAAATACTAAACTGTTTAGAATTCATCAGAGTCAGCCTCTCTAGATGTGGAACTAGCTGTGGGAAAAAGTCGCCACTTGCATAATTTTCTCAAGTTGGGCGTCTCAATCTCATTTTTATTTACTCTCTTATATAATTATCTCATCTGTAAGCATCCTGTAGTCCTCCTGAGGACCTCATGCTGAGGTCCTGTTTGTGGATGGCGTAAAGAGTGACTCCCTGTGAGCGTTATTGGGCCCCATCGCGTTCTAGGCAACGCGCCTCAACGTAGTAGAGCATGGATATGTCGCTCGCCATGTGCATTGACCAATGTAACCCAACACCAGACAAGGGTTTGCAATCGATTAACATGTGCAATCTGTGCGAATCAGCCGTTTCCAAGTTACATACTTCAACCGTTTATACGAGTCCACTGCCCGGGTTCCGAGGTTAACTTTCTTGTGATGGTGGCAAAGACCCCGTCAACGTCTCGAACCCGACAGTGCTAAGATGATCATGGAAGTTCTGGACACAGACAGTGATAATGATCGAGGACTATGAACGCTTTTGGTGATTCATGAAGGGCAGGCTGAACCACAACCCGCCGAGGGCCCTTTAGAAGTTTTAAATGGAATCCCATCTTTCTTTGCCTCCCGCCGAGAGCGTTCAGGATGGTTACTCATTTAGTCGGTCCCTGGGTCAGCCTTTGAACTCCCGAGGAACCTTGAAGTAGTGCTTTCTCCGATACACTGTCCCTTTATGTACATAACCTTCATTCGGTCCCACCTACAGCACGAGATTGTCTCAGAATCATGTTCCCTATACAACCGTTTGGAGCTTTGTTCGAAAGGCTAACGATTCGTCGCTGAGGAATATCCCGTTTCCTTACTACTCAGTCAAGCCTGCGATGCCTCCCACATGAGCACCGACGCATGCCTCCCTAACGTACTTTCAGATTAAGTCGACTGGAGGCAGAAGTGACGAACAGATGGCAGTAAGGGCATAGACACTGGGATCCGTGATGAAGAGTAGTGCTGGTTGCTGCTCTGCTAGTACCTAGTAGAGGATGCTAGAGGTTGACTTCCTCACTACAAGCAGCCTAGCCTTTGATTGGATAATCAACAGCGTTGTAGCACCCCTGGCAGGGCAGCCCTATGCTTTCGGCTGGTCCGCGTGGATGTGGCCGGCAAGTGCTCCCTGGAGGCCAGGTATCGGAATATCAGGTCAATATTGATGACGAATGTCATAGCTCTCATATGTTGGGGACGGTTTGGCTCTCTGATGCATATAAGGCTGGGGTATGGAAAAAGGAAGTATTCATTGGTGACGGAAACTCCACAGGCGTATGGGAGGAGGGTAGTGACTGGCGAGCGCAGAGTTGAGCATTTGATGGCCATTTTGATTGATTTGTTAGTTCACGTTTCGGTGTCTACATCTATATGGTGTAGCGTTGAAGTATCACAGAGGGCTTATGCAATCCTGTGATGGTCAATGCAGAACGGCTCAGGGAGGAGGGCGATCATCGGAGTCTTTGCTCCCGGCTGGCAGATCTCGAAGAGCTCCTCGGTGTTGCTGATGAGGAGCTGGAAGAGGTGGAGGTAGATCCTGATAGGAGTTACCCAAAGCTCTCTTTATCCATCTCAGAGAACAGTAGAAGCGGCGATTGGTCATGCAGAGGAGTTTCTAGAGATGTCCAAGGCGGCTGAGGAAGAGAGCATTACAGCTTTGCAGGAAACCGAGCAGAACATTGTCCGATATCAACTTGATATTCGATGGCGATTCTTGTGGTCATCTCAGATGAGCAGCATGGGGCGGGATATCGCCCTCCTCTGCGATGAACATGATAAGCACGTACTGCTAACGGTTGCTTCATGAGGACGAGCCTTCGTGGCTCTCAGCATGAATCCAGCTGGGAGGAGTATCATCGAACACTCAAGTTGGAGATGGACGCGATAACGGCGATTCTACAGCGCTATGGTCAGAGGGCCAACGCTGTGGGACGAGAGCTTAGATTAGAGAGAAATGCTAAGACGTGTTGAACGGTCGGGCATGATAGTCGTAGTACTTCTGAAGGCGAGTTGAGTCACCCTTGGAGTTGTTTGTGTAGTTTCTATAACTTCTTTCTCAGTTTTGTATATGTACTATAACTGCTCGTCTGGATGCGGTCTCCACCATAGATAAGATGTGTAGTTTTCATCCTTGGAGGAAGCAGTAGGACAAGCAGGAGTGGTTGGTAGCATTTTTGCTTGTCATAAGTGTCGTGCAAATGGGGCCGTAGGAGCGTCGCATCGCCTACTATGATCAGTTCCAGAGTCTGGCCGCCGTACTCGTAGTGGTTTCTCTCGGTTTACATCGACAATCACCTGTCTTTGGGTGCTTCCTTTCCCTTAGTCATCGTCATTACTACAATCATCCTCTCTAGGGACGATCTTCCAATGCGTTATGATGCTACTTGATGAACACGAGGAGGTCATTGCACAAGCCCCCTCTCTTGGCTGGATCATCGTTATAGGTCTATCCGCTTTAATACAAGGAGTCCTTGGCAATGGAAGTAATAATAAACCGCTTGTACAGCTCTGGATTCCCCTCCAGCCGACGTGCTCAATCAAAAGGCGAAGGGAAAGACAAGTAAGGGATAAAGGTACTGGCGATGCTGTGGGACGTGACAAGGAGCTTTCATCAATTTCTATTGACGTCGTAGGTTGGAAAAGGGTGTTATCCTGATGGTGGATCCCACTACTTCTCCGTGTCGCGGTTCCTATGAGATCTTCTTTTGTGCAGCTTGCGGAACCATACGTGTCAAAGGCGCTTCACTTCATCGTTATGGTGGAGGCCTACCATGTGGGCGATAGGAATAGTCCATAGATAGCGATAGGAAAACATTATCACAGTAATAGGCCTATTCAGTTGTACTAGAATACTAGGGCCCATCGTACAGAAGTAGAAGCTCTATCACAGAGGTCCCATTCTCAGGTAGTGGTCTGTGGGTCGTGAGGGCGAAAGAGCTGTGAGAGTGGCGTAGTACGCGTTATGTCGGCTACCGCCTTGATCCCACGTTAGACTTCCTACTGCTGTTCGACTCTAGGAATCACTTTATCGTGTTGAATCACATCATGCAATACCATCTACCGCGAACGATGTTTCTTATCTGTCGTTGATATCGTCGTGTTAGTGACAACATAGAGGGCGGCGGCGGCATCGTCAGGTTTTCGATGTTCCATAATGGTATTTCCTCTACCATACGGTTATGCTCACTACGACCGGCCGTGGTATCAACACTACGTGACTCGGTGTCAACTAGGCCACAGTTGAGGGTCAACTCTGGTGTCAGGCAGAGGCTTGGTCGCAGCCCTCGAGGTGGATGGATGTAAGTCTGCTGTCTGTGTGGGAGAGCAAGCCCACTACTTCCCACCTTTAGTTTCAAGTCGGAGGTGAAGAACTACAACGAGATGGCTGGCATGCCTCCATCGCTGTGCAACGTCGTAGTAGCGGATGAGGCCAACGATGAACCCCTCTCATCGCCGACCGCTGTAGCCCTAGTAGATCCCAAGAAGACCGTTGTGTATGGGAAAATACTGGACCTAGACCCGTGAGCAGTGCCGCTCCCTCTTCTCCTCCTTGTGTCGGCTCCATTGTAGGTACTGCGTTTTTGACCAGCGGTTCATCGTGCATCTCCTCGAGAGGGCTCTCCGTCGGCGAGAGAGGTTCTTCAGCAGTGATGTCGCGGGGAACAGCGTCAGCTATCGCCTCTTCCACGGGGAGTCCGATGGGATACCAGGTCTCTATATAGATAAGTGAGTCTGTACTAGAACTCAACTGCTCTTTTCGTTGTGGAGATAGATAGTAAGGGAATAAACAAGTATAAATGCATTTTTTGGAAATATGGAATCGTACGCAGCTTAGCTTGTCGTCAGGGCAGAGCGTACAATCGTGTCTCTCTCTCGCAAGTCGAGTTAGAATCGACGGAAGCCGCACTACTTCCCTTGTTTTCAGGTTTGTCGGTTCGCCATGCCCGGTTGTAGTGATGCGTCTCTCCAGTGTTGGTCTGGAAGGACATCTGCTCAGCTTTATGAAGGCTGTTGAGAAAGTCCATTGTGCGGAGCCTAGTACGGCACTCTTCGTACAAGCAGAAAATGGTGGCGGTAAACGATCAGCCTATAGAGAAGTAACTGTGATCTCGTAGAGGCCCTCGCACTCGAGCAGCACCTCCTAGTTACTACGGCCAGCGGGCTTGACCGACGTCACTTTTGATGGCCTAGATAGTGCGGCTACTACTCACAATAGCGACAACACGATAGTTCTCATCAATGAGAATGGTGTATTAGTAGCCGTCGATATTGCAGCCAACCCGGGTAGGGCTTCCTCAGGGCCAATGAGCACGTAGAGCACCTTCCCAACGCATGCCTAGTTCCATCTCAGCCTTCTGCTGAAGCTGCCTTCATCCTCAGGCTTTCTACTTAATAGGCGCTCGGACAGGTCAGCTTTACGGAGTTTGGTATCAGCCGTGGCGTCCTCCTCGAGAAGCTTATCCATCCTGGACCTGTATAGCCACAGCGGCTCCTATGCTTTGCAGCTACATTCAGTTCATCCGAAATCTAAGGTGAGTGTTATCATCGTGTTATGGTGATACTCCGCGTCAACTCCGACTCGCGCTTCCCCACTATAAGTACTTTTCTAGTCTTGGACCTAAAGTGTAGGCAGATGTATGTGCCTCGGAATGCCTTTGTATGATCCGACTGCTCTGGAGAGTATACGATGTGAGGTTGACAAAATGAACTACTCTCTAGTACTGACCATAGCCCGAACTTCAAAGAATGCAGACAGAGTGACACGTAGTCGCTCTGTTCACCAACTGAAGGCTTCGTCTAGAGCCGGAGAAAAAGACGCGCTCACGTAAAGCAACGATAGAAAATAGCCCATAATAGCACCACCCGACTGAACCACTTGAAGAAACTTTGATATCTTCACAGCCGCGGAAAGAACAGCAGCGGTCTTTGACTGGCCTCAGCCGATCAGGTTGTGTGTGTTGATAAGGACGGTGAAGCCCTTCGACTTGGTCAGCTCAGTTGTGATGAGAATGGTATCCGAAAAGGCGTGGTTCAATTCGTAAGCCGTCCTGTGGGGCATCCCTGCAGTCCCGCCTGTCAGATGGAGAACTCTGTTGAGGAGTACTTGCACGGGCTTGCCGGGAACCACGCCGGTCACGACGTCATCGTTAT